CATCCATATCTAATGCTTTATTCCTGATGTCTGTACGTTTGCACATAAACGCTCCCAGTGTTTGAACTATACCATGGACTTTGGGGGAGTCCACTTGTTTTTTTTTTTTTAACTGGGGGGGCTTTGTTCGTGCGCTTGCGCGTGCCTCAAAAGAGGGCTTACAATGACTTACAAAGATACATAACAGCTACAAGTGTATGCACTACTTGCTTTATGCAAGCACTATATAGGATAAATCACTATACAGGATTTACCCTATTATACTTTATCGACACGAATTGATAGGTGAAACAACAAACAGCCACCCACAAATACACGTTTTCAGGGGAGCCCATGTCTTATTAAGGGGAGCCGAGCTCCCCCTAGCTCCCCCGTAGTTCGCACCCTGAACAACGCTCCCCACTCATATGTCGAAAGAATGCGTCGGCTTCTTAAAAACTCTTTCTCCCCCACTGTTGTGTCAGGGCACCTCCTCCTCTTTTTCTCTCTTTCCGTCTCTATCTCTCCTTCCCTGCTGCAGAGCGACTTGATGAATGCTAAAATCACTCCTTCAGCAGATTGCGTGCCCTCTGTTGGAGCCGTTTTGCTGGGAAGTTAAGCTCTGCGTCGGATGCTCATTTGTGACAAAGACTTTTGCTTAGAGATATTACAAGGAACGAACCCCTCCAACAAATCAGTTTCACATACTCTCAGGCGTTGTTCTATTTCTGTTTTACGTAACGTTTCACAGAAAAGATGAATAGGGACTATACTCTTTGTTGCATACTCACCATAAAGTCATGTTTTTGCTGTACTGAAAAACAACTTGGTCTGAATGTTTTACAAGACTGTTGTACAGAAGCAGAGTGTGTACCATTATTGTCACTCTAATGGTAAAAACACAGTAAATACGACTGATATTTAGTGCTCAGAGTGCAGGTTGGCGTTGCTGCAAAGTCACCAGATGCCTAATGGAAAACACACACTGAGCTTATTGTTCTGAGATACACAAATTATGATTGAGTAAAACCCCTTTTTCAGAATTAAAATGTTCCGTCTCATTTCCATCGCAGAAAATGAAAATGTACTCACCCTCATGTATTCCAAACAAGTATGACTTTCTTCTGTGGAACATAAAAGGAGATACTTCAAAGAATTTTCATGCTGCTATTTTCAATGCAATGAAAGCTTATAGTGCCCCCCCCCCCCAAAAAAAGATACTACTCGTGTGTTATATTCTACGTCTTCTGAAGCCAAATAATAGCTGTTTCATCAGTGTCAGTGACACAAAATGCCATTGCTTCTGTATGTGTCTATCGAATGCCAGGTTGGAAATGCAAAAGAGATTTGTGAGCTGTTACTTGAAATAAAGCTTACATAAATCAAAACATAAATAATAGGTGGAAAAATGAAAACTGAAAATATAAAATAAAGCTAATTCAAAATATAAATAAATACTATAATAGTATATAAATAATACTAAAATTAAACTTATTCAGAAGATTTGACTGGATGAGACTTTCTAGGTTCAGTACAAGTTCAGTTGCCAGCATTTGTGGCATAATGTTAATTACTACAAAAATTAATTGACTTTCCTTTTCTTCAAAAAAGCTAAAAACCTGAGTTAATGAGGCACTTACAATGTAAGTGAATGAGGCAAATCTGTAAACATTAAAATACTTACTGTTTTAGCAGTATAGCAACAACACATATTAGGCCTCATTTATAAAGTGTGCGTACGTACATATTTGATCTTAGAGTGTGCGTATGCTTAAACCCACGCCAATGCTTATATATGTAAGAAAAAATGCCTTTGACGTGGAAAAGTGCTTAGCGCCACGTCAAGGTCTGAGCAGACGTACGCACTTTTTCTTGTTCGAGTACTGCAGGTTTTAGGGAATAAAAGCTGTTCTTGCTGCTCGCTGTTCTAAATGAAAGAATTTGGACGATGACTGGTGATCTTTTATAAGTTAATGACATTAAGTAGGAGTCGTTTACAAGGCAGAGAGCTGAAACCATTCAGTTGCGCGCAAGTTTAAGATCATTTGCGATTCATAGATTTCACATCTGAAAGAGAGGCGTACGTTCATTCTATGAATCACAAGTACGCATATTTGAGAGATGATCGTAAGTTCAAATTTAGGATGGTTTTGCGCGTCATTTTATAAATGAGGTCCAATATGTGTTGTTAAATATGATTTTATTGTGAAAAAAAAAAAACTTTAGGAATAGTTCAGCCAAAAAATACAATTAGCTGAAAATTCACTCACCCTCAGGCCAGTCAAGATGTAGATAAGTTTGTTTCGTCATCATAACAGATTTGTAGAAATGTAGCATTTCATCACTTGCTCACCAATGGATCCTCAGCAGTGAATGGGTGCCGTCAGTATGAGAGTCCAAACAGCTGATAAAAGCATCACAATAATCCACAAGTAATCCACACCACTCCAGTCCATCGGTTAACATCTTGTGAGTGAAAAGCTGCATGCTTGTAAGAAACAAATCCATCATTGAGGCATTTTAATTTTAAACCTTGAACATATTTGTTTAGATCAAATTTTAGACTGTTATAAACATTGTGCATATTTCTTCTGATTCAGACGAGAGTTAAAAACATCTTAATGATTGATTTGTTTCTTACAAGCACACAGCTTTTCACATCACCAGACGTTAACTGATGGACTGGAGGAGTGTGGATTGCTTGTGGATTATTGTGACTTGTACTGAACCTGGAATATTCCTTTAAAGCATGGCTATGCTAATGCTGCATTCACGATTGCACACTCAGTACCAGAGTGCAGCTGTTATTGTGCTGTGTGAGGTTTTGCAATGTGTACAGTGCATTCTACAAGTCATGTGTGTAGACACAGGGTCACCAATACCCAAACGTGTCCCTCCGGCCTCCTGAGTTTCTGACCTTCACAGAGGAACAGAGCGATACAGCCTTCACAACTACAAACAAACCGGAGACACTGTCACCATGCCATTATGCATTACATTATTCTACTTTTTAAATGTCTTGTTATCAATTCATCCATAAAAGCCGTCTTCATCTAGTTTAGGGAGTAAAGGAGAGAGAGAGAGAGAAGAGAAAATTTCACAGATTCGCTGAGAGTGAGAGATGCTGCGGATGTTTAAAATGGGGTGCGAGTGAGAGGAACAAAAAGAGGTGTGTGTGAAAAAGTGTGTGTATTTCACAGGCAGCTGGATTGGTGGAGAAAGAGAGAAGCTATAATTGATGTCACACCAGGTGTGTGTAGGGAATGAGAGGAGAAGAAAAGCAAGGGAGGAGGGATCGTCAGGGTTACCTATCCATCCTCTCGCTCTCTCTTCCTCCAGTACACCTGCAACACATCTCGTCCCTCATGATTACGCCGTCCTTAGATAAAACCAGACCCTGGCAATCCCACAGAGAGCCATTACAAACACTCGCTGTAGTGGAATTTTACTTCTTGTCCTATTCAGAGCTATTGTACAAGAGAGCTGCATGTCTAGTGTCTACAAAGGCTGCAGCTTTCTAAGGCGGCATTCTAAACAGAATGTAATCTCATAGGCGACTGATTTGGAACACTGCATACTTGAGTTTCTTACTCATGACTCCAGTAGTCGGTGTCCACTGTTTCCCTTCATTTTTCTCCATAATAAATGGGGAAATCTCTTTTGTTTTGATAAACCATTAAAGTGATTATATATGCTTATGTAAAAGCCACAATCAAGTGTAATTTCTCTTCTTTTTTAAGTGTTTAAATGCTGAATTCAAGGTGAAGATCTACACTACCCATAATCCTTAAAGAAGAGGCACCAATTAAAATGGGCACTGTTAATGGAAATGAAAATTGCGGCAAAAGAGTTCAACAACAACGTCCAGTTCCATGAACTGAAATGAGCAGGCTAATTACATAATTAAATTATTCTCTCTACACTCAAACAACTCATACTTGCTTATATAGGAATAACAGTAAGATTTTTAAAATGTTTAAAATGTTTTGAAAGATTCACCAGGACTGCATTTATTTAATACAGTAAAAACAGTAATACTGTAAAATATTATTACAGTTTGAAATAGCTGTTTTCTATGTGAATATATCTTAAAATGTGATTTATTGCTATGATCAAAGCTGAATTTTCAGCATCATTACTCCCAGTGTCACGTGATCCTTCAGAAATCATTCTAATCTGCTGATTTGCTGCTCAAGAAACATCTCCTACTATTATCAATATTGAAAGCAGTGCAGCTTAATATTTTTATGGAAACCATGATTATTTAATAATTATTTGATTAAAATGAATTTGTCACTTTTGATCATTTTAATGCATCCTTGCTGAATAAAGTAATTTCTTTAAAAAATAAATAAATACATAAAATAAAATAAAATAAATAGAAATCTTATTGAACTCAATCTTTTGAGCAATAGTGTATACAAAAATGTGTAGATAAATAAAAATAAAAAAATAAAAAAATTATTTATATATATATATATATATATAGTTATTCATAATTTTCATAATGATTTTGTGTCAAATTATTAACATTTAATCCTTACAACTATTGGGGGAAAAAACCCAAGTCTGCAAAAAAAGGGTCAACGGTCACTGTTGTGTTTTATAGTTTCACGTTAATGTGTGTTAATCTAGCACAAACATTACACAGCACACACAAATATCGGGTTACATAACATACTTTCCAGTTTTTAAATGAAATATATTTATAATCTATATTTGTAATCATTTTGCTCTAGATTTGCCCTTTATCTTGAATGAACGTTTTCATGCAATGCTGTGCTTATAATTTGGTAAAAACAAGGCATCTTAGAATGCAGCATAATATTTTTAACTGCCTGTCAATAGCGTTTGCGTCTAAATGTCGCCTACTGTATGTTGCCTTAAAATCTTTATATGTTCATCTCGGTAGGTAGCTCACTAGATTTTGGAATGGAGCTAATATTGTGATTTACTTATAAGTTGTTCCAGTCATTAAATTATTTTTTGCTGTATTTGAGTGTTTCTCATTTTGTCTGCAGAAAAAGCAAGAGCAAACATGGCCAAGCCAACGGAGGGGCTCAGAAAAAGGAAACAGTGAGTGCAAAAAAAGCACAGTATATATGAACACATACACACAGTGTAATTATGGACATGGATGTACATACTGTACATATACATGATAATGTTTTGTATTTCAGGCTGCTCTGCGCCAGTCCAAGCTGAACTCAATGAGTAAATCTGACACCCGCCTGCATGACATGCACAGGCTGCCCTGCAACGCCAATGGTGAGAGAGACAGAGATGTAACTGGTCTTTATGACATACAGTGGGTACGGAAAGTATTCAGACCCCCTTAAATTTTTCACTCTTTGTTATATTGCAGCCATTTGCTAAAATCATTTAAGTTAATTTTTTTTCCTCATTAATGTACACACAGCACCCCATATTGACAGAAAAACACAGAATTGTTGACATTTTTGCAAATTTATTAAAAAAGAAAAACTGAAAAATGCTCAGTATTTAGTAGAAGCACCCATTTGATCTAATACAGCCATGAGTCTTTTTGGGAAAGATGCAACAAGTTATTCACACCTGGATTTGGGGATCCTCTGCCATTCCCTCTCTGCTCTGCGCCAGTCCAAGCTGAACTCAATGAGTAAATCTGACACCCGCCTGCATGACATGCACAGGCTGCCCTGCAATGCCAATGGTGAGAGAGACAGAGATGTAACTGGTCTTTATGACATACGTACACAAGACTCATTTACCACACATTCGCACATATGCACGGAGTGCAAAGGCTGACGTCTCCAGAGACTTGTCAGATGTTTACTAGCTCATGTTCCCACTGCCACAGACGTGTGATCTGCGAGGCTGAGAATGACAGTTGTCAAGCTGACACACAGAACACACACACATCCCAAAGCCTTATATACACTGGCTTCTAATCTTTTAAATCCAGACTATTAGAGACTCAGCTTTATTTAGTGTGTAAAACACAAAATACACAATAAGAAGGATAGCAATTCCCAATTCGTATCAACGTGAAAACAAGATTGACCCTATTTACTTTTGTAATACATGCTCCTGATCGTAATATCCACAAATCATCAGTCTACACTATTAGAAAAAATTTGAAAAAAACCCCCGGCTTTTTCTGCTGATGTTACCAAGATCACTCGTTTCAACACGGGGAAGATTTTGAGGCTATAAAGAATGTTGTGGTAACATTGTTTTGAAATGTTTCTAAAATGTCCATATGCCTAGTTTTTTTTGTCATAATTATAACACTATTTAAAGGTTACAAAAACATTTCTTACAATGTTCTACTAACTTTATTTTCACTCGAAATGTTATTTGAATGTTTATTTTTAAATATTTTACAAATTTTAAAATGTCCAGTGTTCGTTTTGTGATTAGAATATTACTTAAAGTTTCCTAACATTTTTCTTACAATGTTGCACTAACTTTATTTTCCCCCAAGATATAACGTTATTTGAACATTAGTTTTTAATATTCTAAGAATGTTAAAATGCCCAGTTTTCTTGCCGTGATTAGAATGTTATTTAAAAATTACAAAAACGTTTTTACAACGTTCTACTAACCTTATTTTCACCCAAAATATTATTTGAATGTTTAATTTTAATATTCTCTGAATGTTAAAATGTCCGGTTTTCTTTTTGTGATTAGAAAGTTACTTAAAGGGGTCATATGATGCTGCTAAAAAGAACAGTATTTGGTAGACCAAACAAAGTAGATTCGCTTTCACAATGAAGCACACAGAGTCTTTACAACATGGTGGCAGCGGAAACAACAATACTACAGCGAGAATAAAAGTTACGCCTTCTTTTTTTGCGTGAACATTTGGGCGGTGTTATGCAAATCTTCCCAAATAGTGACGTAGATATGTGGGGGCGTGTTAGAACGAGGCGTTTTAGGTAGGTGTGGCTGACTCTTAACTTTTGTAAAGAATATCTCTTTGGATTTGAGACTTTAGTCTTTGCAACTTTACAGATCTTCTTTATGCACCAAGAGCTTGTAACACTCCAAAGAGAAAGGAAACATTTAAATCGCATCATATGACCCATTTAAAGGTTCCTAAAATGTTTCTTTCTAAACCGTTCTACTAACTTTATTTTCACCCAAGATATACATTTGAACATTCATTTTTAATATTCTAAGAACGTTAAAATGTCCAGTTTTCTTGCCATGATTAGAATGTTATTTAAAGATTACAAAAACGTTTCTTACAACGTTCTACTAATTTTGTTTCTGCCCATAATGTAACGTTATTTGAATGTTTATTCTAAGAACATTTTCTCTCAAGATTGAGAACGAGTGCAAATAACATTATAAGAATGTTCTGAGAATGTTGATATCAGTATATTTTCTCTCATTGTTTTAAGAACATTCATGAAGTAAAAACATCATGAAGACATTCTAAGAATGTTTTCTCTCAGCGTTATGAGACCGTATATCAAATATTAACGAAGTGATAAGAATGTTCATAAACACTATTTTAGAATGTTTTGTCCTAAAAATTATATAACTTTTTAAAATGTTATCGAAAGTTGTGAGAAGGTTCCTTGTTATGCTAAGCTAGTCAGCTAAACTATTAGCTAGGCTAAACTGGAAAGGTAAATGCTTAATTTGACTAGTTTTAGATTTGGTAGTATCATCTGATACATAGTTTAGAAAACAAAATTCAAATTTTTTGTTGCCAGTGTAGATTCATGTTGGCTTTAAACTCATTGTACTGTCTGTAAGCAGGTTTAAATATATGTAAGATTGTGAAAGTGTGGTCAAAATACGAGATAATCAAATAGTAATGGTCTGCCCTCTTGTGTTTGCCTGGAGTAATGTCAAATGTGTCATTTTTAATGACACTTTGGATTTTATTTACCCTTTGTATGTGTACATGTTCAGTATTTTATCCAATATGACATCATTACTCCAAACTTTAATCTTAATCCTCTTTCCCATCTCTCTCATATTAGTCTGTGTTATTCTGATTGACAGGCGCCCCTAAGAGCCGGCCGGCCAGCATGGATCTTCTGCTCCTGCATACCCGCCGCTCCAATACTGACCTCCGTCCCAGCCCAGGCCGCCAGCTGCCTCGTGCTCCCAACAAAAATGAGAATGAGGAACGTGAGCACACCTACTCTGAAGTTTGCCGCCGCTCCTCTCCCACATCCCACCCGCCAGATGATGGCCTATACGAGAGTGTTGGGATCAAAGGGGCGGGGTCTGATAAAGCTGCCCCACCTGCTGCCCCTGCCCCGACGTCAACCAACACGCCCACTCAGCGCTGTGCCCACAGCCCGACGCTCAATGGGAACGGCCGAGGTGGAAGCAGAGGAGGTGTGAACGGTGTGAGTCAAGACGAAGTGACGGCAGAGTACGCCTCCATACGGAAGGTGAAGAAGCTGGAGCGCGGCAGGAGGGAGGAAGTGGTGGAGGATGGAGAAAGGGAGCACCAGAGCGTGTCCAGCAGCGAGTCCTCCAGCAGCACTTTGCCTAGGAAAACAGTGGAACCGTTTCACCTACCCAATTTCCCAAAGGTGAATATGCACCCCAGCATAATTTACTTAAACCATAGAATAACATAGCAACTGCATAGCGACACCCTAGCAACAATCCAGAACACCCCAGCAACCCATAATTCACATAAACCACAGAACAACATAGTAACTGTATAGCAACACCATAGCAACCATCCAGAACACCCCAGCAACCCATAATTTACTTAAACCACAGAACAACATAGTAACTGCATAGCGACACCCTAGCAACTATCCAGAACACCCCAGCAACCCCATAATTTACTTAAACCAAAGAACAACATAGTAACTGCATTGCAACCCCGTCGCAACCATCCAGAAGACCCCAGCAACCCATAACTCACTTAAACCTCAGAATAACTTAGTAACTGCATAGCAACACCGTAGCAACCATCCAGAACACCCCAGCAACCCCATAATTTACTTAAACCACAGAAAAACTTAGTAACTGCATAGCAACACCCAAGCAACCATCCAGAATACCCAGCAATTCATTAAACACTTAAAACAACTTAGTAATGGCATAGCAACTCCCTATCATCCACCCAGAAACATCCATAACTCACTTAAACCTCAGAACAACTTAGTTAATGCATAGCTTACCACATAGAACACCCTAGCAACCACACAGTACTGCACCAAACACTCAGAACGTCTTAGCGTGGCATAGCAATGCCATGGCAATAACTCAGAACATTCTAGCATCATTATGGTATATTTTGCACCACTCTCATTTTCTTCAGAAAAACTAATGCAAGAACTTGGCATTGCTAAAGATGGGCCTATTAGATGAGGACCCATCTTTAGCAATGCCAAGTTCTTGCATTTGATTTCCAGGCAATTGAAAAAATAATAATAATAAGTGAGAAAAAAAGATTAATAATTGTCTGCCATTTGCACTGATGTAAATAGCAAGCACTTAAATGCAGGGCCTGGTAGTGCAGTTATTCGTTTGGACCACTAGAGAGTGCTGTTTCCTATAAAAATATCCCCTAGATTCACCAACCTGAAGCATTATCTAAAATCTTCATGACTGATATGAATATGACTGATGACATTTAAATGTGTGTGTGTGTGTGTGTGTGTGTGTGTGGGTGTGTGTCTGTTTGCATTTCATCCATATTCCTGTCCGTCTGTCGGCTGATAACCGTTTATATTGTGTTCGGCTTTCAAGGACAGATAAGACTTGCAGAGAGCAGAACAGCCATGTGGAATGATGGTGCCTTTAAAATGGAAAACACACAGACAATGATCGGATAATGATCCAGTCTTCCTGTTAACTCAGCTCTGCTCTACTTGTCTTTATGTGTGTGTTTGTGCCATTTATTTGCCACATATGGAGATCTTCTTTGTCACAGGTTTGCTGATTGATGGCTTGTTTACACAGGCACGGTATTGTATTCAGTGCATAATTGTCTTTCTAAATCTGACTTACAGTGTGCCATTTGATGTTTAAGGAAGGCTAAACAATGTGTGTGTGTGTGTCTTTGACCTGCATTATATCCAAGCCTGCATCTAGAGCAAATATGGTTAGAGTTTACGTGAAAGCGAGCATGCAGTATGATTGTGTGGCACATGTGTCACTCCAGTGCACTGGGCTGGATTATGTAAGGTCTGTTGGCAGGCTGCCTGCCCCGCCATGTTTTTTTTTGTTTGTTTGTTTTTTTGTTAAAGGCATCAGGGAGGAACCACAGAGCAGGTAGTTGCTTCAGCCAGGGAAATAAATAGCAGCAAACACTGTAGCCATTCATCTGCTGGTATTAATCATTCATACAGGAGGTGTGTTTCTTTCCCTCTTTAATCATTGACTCTCTATACAGCATACATATCTGCTCCTGTAATGATTAACTCACAGAACATTTCCATTGTAGAAACAAACACCAATCAGTCCTAAATTAAAGGAACAGTTCATGTCGTTCCAGACCAGCATGACTTTCTTTCGTTGTTCTGTGGGACACAAATGGTGAACTGGTGCTGTCGAGCTCCAAAATGACAGAGTCATAAAAGTGGTTCATATGATTTTTGCGGGGGGAAAAAGAAAATTCCAAGTGTTCTGAGATCATATAATAGCTTTCTGTGACAAACGGACCAAAATTGAGGTCTTTATTCCCCTTCACCCTAGTAAAAAAGTTATATATTTAAAATACATTTATTTCATACTAAGTATAGTTAAAATCAATTAACATATTTACTGACAAATCGCTCAAGACTTACTGGTAAAAAAAATTATAATTAAACCTTATTTGGAGTGTTACTTGTGCACAAAGCCTTCATTATATAGCCTAAACTTTTAGTTTTAGGTTTTAATACTGAAGTTTTAATGTCACTATTGATGAGGAGCGTTTGATCTTTGATTAATATCAGTTTTTAAATGCAAGATATTTAAAGTGTACCTGAAGTATACTTGCAATAGTTCCACTTTAGCACAATCAAATATACTCCAGTATATCTTTAGGTGGACATCAGCACTACTTCCACACAATTAAAGTGCATTAAATAGAAAATTAGTTATTCCAATTTAGCAGACTTTAAGTACACCAGTTTAGTATACCAAAAGTACAGTTGCGGGGTATTTTTTATTAAGTACATATATACACTCACCGGCCACTTTATTAGGTACACCTGTTCAATGGTGGACATCAGCACTACTTCCACACAATTAAAGTGCATTAAATAGAAAATTAGTTATTCCAATTTAGCAGACTTTAAGTACACCAGTTTAATATACCAAAAGTACAGTTGCGGGGTATTTTTTATTAAGTACATATATATGTTAATGTATTTGTAGTATACTTAGCATGAAATATACATTTCAACAATTATATTTCAAATACATTTTAGTGTATAGTTTATTTTTCACCAGGGCAGTGAGCTGTTAACAGTGTTATTTTAGATTTTTGTGTACACTATTATAGTTTTCATTAATATTTAGCTTTTATTTTATATTTTTAGAATTCATTCCATTTAGTTTTTAAAATAATTTTTATATTACTATTTCAGTTGAATTTATTTATTTCCAGTCAGTCATTTTAGTGCTTCAGCTTAAACGCATTTTACTTAGTTGTCAAGTCAACATTTTTCATGTAATATTTATATTTTATTGTATTTCAGATTTATTTCCGTTACCAAAAATGTTTTTGTTTTAGTTAAGAATAATAACCCTGTTGTTGAAGGAATAGTTCACTAAAAATGAACATTTGCTAAAAATGTACTCACCCCAAATGGGTGCCGTCAGAATGAGAGTTCAAACAGCTGATAAAACATCACAATAATCCACAAGCAATCCACAGCACTCCAGTCCATTAGTTAACATCTTGTGAAGTGAAAAGTTGCATGTTTGTAAGAAACAAATCCATCATTAAGATGTTTTAACTTTAAACCGTCACTTCTGGACAAAATACCTCTATCCATAATAACACTTCCTGCCTGAATTTGTTTCCTACAAACACACAGCTTTTCACTTCACAAGATGTTAACTGATGGCGTGAGTGGTGTGGATTACTTGTGGATTATTGTGATGTTTTTATCAGCTGTTTGAACTCTCATTCTGACGGCACCCATTGATTTGCTGCTCAAGAAATATTTATTATTATTATCAATGTATAAAACAGTCGTGCTGCTTAATAATATATGCTTAACTTTTGAACAATAGTATAATATGTCAAATAAAGTTGAAATAGTTTTGTTGTTTTAAATATAAAGCTCACTTAACATAGTTGCTTAAAACAAGGGAAAATTGTAGAGTAAGTAAAAGCAGTCTTAATTCAAGATACACTCAAATAAAAGTATATTTAGGCCTTAAATTTACTGTATGTATTTGAAATGCATATACAATTTCCATACATATGGATTAAATCGTTTTAACTTAATGTGTTAGTCATACATAGTCATACATAATACATTATAGTACTATTAGTAATAAACTGGATGTGTTTTAAATACACAATAACCAGGTTTACACATTTATCATCAATAAATTCAATTTGTTTCCTTTTTTGTTATTTGTTCCATAGCTAGCCATATTTTAACAAGGATTGTACTTTTTACCTGACTTAATGTATTTGTTTTACCATGAACAGATTCTAAGATATTGGAATAAATGCCTTTTAAAAATATGTTTATTTAAATAAAATAACTTTGAAAATGACATTCTACACTTATTTTGTTGGATAGCAGTGTAACAGTAAGCTGAACGTCTTTGGCTCAGATGGAAGTGTTGGCTGTTGTAACCGGTGGAGATTGCAAGGGAATGAGAAAGAGAGAGCAATATGAAGGGGAAAGAAAAGACAGTGAGAGAGCAAGAGGAAGGAGAAAAAACCTCTCAAGGCTTTCTCAACAGCTGCAGAGAGTTTTGAAACCCCCGTCATTGTGATTTCCTCTCGCTCTGCAAAGCACTACACAGCACGGTAAACAATGCTCGACATGGAGGAAAAGAGATCGGAGGGGTGCACACAGACACACACACTTTTGGGAGTTTCAAACAACATGAAACTCAGCGGTTTTCTTAAAATCGGCTGGTTCAGTCATGCCTGTGTTCAGACGCATGCTATGCGTCGTGCCGTGGCCTGCAGATTACAGTACAGGCTAAAATACTGAATGCTGCAGCGCTGTTTTCCAGATCGGTTAGAGGTGTTAACATGACAAACGCAATCGTATCTGCAGCTCGATTCATGCCATAACATCTCCGTACTTTTTAACTTAATGTATTTGTTTTACCATGAACAGATTCTAAGATATTGGAATAAATGCCTTTTAAAAATATGTTTATTTAAATAAAATAAAATAATGCAATGGATTTATATGCATATGCTAATTATTCTACATAAATACATACAAGTGTCTATTTAAAAAAAAAAAAAGATTGATACTAACACAACTATTATGTTCTCTGATTTTAAAATTTGCACCTCGGGTGGCATTGAACGTACTTTGAAAATGACATTCTACACTTATTTTGTTGGATAGCAGTGTAACAGTAAGCTGAACGTCTTTGGCTCAGATGGAAGTGTTGGCTGTTGTAACTGGTGGAGATTGCAAGGGAATGAGAAAGAGAGAGCAATATGAAGGGGAAAGAAAAGACAGTGAGAGAGCAAGAGGAAGGAGAAAAAACCTCTCAAGGCTTTCTCAACAGCTGCAGAGAGTTTTGAAACCCCCGTCATTGTGATTTCCTCTCGCTCTGCAAAGCACTACACAGCACGGTAAACAATGCTCGACATGGAGGAAAAGAGATCGGAGGGGTGCACACAGACACACACACTTTTGGGAGTTTCAAACAACATGAAACTCAGCGGTTTTCTTAAAATCGGCTGGTTCAGTCATGCCTGTGTTCAGACGCATGCTATGCGTCGTGCCGTGGCCTGCAGATTACAGTACAGGCTAAAATACTGAATGCTGCAGCGCTGTTTTCCAGATCGGTTAGAGGTGTTAACATGACAAACGCAATCGTATCTGCAGCTCGATTCATGCCATAACATCTCCTCAGCCTGTACACATGAATGCCGTAAAGGTCACTAAGTGAGTTGGAGAGCCGAGTTGAATTCTTGACTGAGATTATACACATGCCATTAAGATGGGAGTGCTAAATATCATCTACCACAGAGAGGGCATGTGAGGTGAACACACGCACACACACATCAGTGTTAGGGTTGTTAGGGCAATATTGACAATATCTAAATATTTGGGGGATTTTTTCAACAACAATAATTAAATTATATTTTTTATGTGTTTTTGATCTGGTTTAAGCCTGTCGGATAAATAAATATGACACTAATACCACCAGTAGGTGGCGTCATTTGAATTTGAACATACTTTGCAACAGTTTTAGGGTTAATTTTATATAGTATGAATATGGGTAGGGAAATTCAGACATACTATATCCGCGATGTTGATATGGTCATGTGACCTAGTTGCGTCACTTCACTACCATTCATAAATTCTCTCCCGTGGCCTCATGGGATAGTAAAGTGTCCACTGAATGTGGATCCTGGCGGAGGTAGTAGCCTAGGTCATCCGGATACTTTTCGCCTACTGTTTTATGAATACTGTGAATTCTTTTGGCGAACTGTTTTTCACATACATTATAGTAGGGAAGTATTCAATTTCAGACACAGCACCTGTTTTAATGAGTGATTCATTGACTCATTCATTCAAATGATTTGTTCAAAATGGCTGATTCATTTAGGAACAAAGCAAGTGACTCTCTTTATGAATGGATAACTGAATCAAATGATTCGTTCAAAAGCAGATTCATTCAGGAACAAAACACCACAGTGTTGCTCTGAGATGCACAAATGTTCTAACTTCGACTTTGTTTGTAACTATTTTCATTGGCAAAACAGAAAAAAAACAGACACTGTTCTCTCTATAATGTAACTTGCTTAATATTAACTTCTTGTTTGTTGAACTGTTGTATAGAATCAATCACATTTGTGGTCACGCTCGCACGCTGATATTCTGGAAAACTGCATTTTTTTTTGTGATATTATGTAACAATATCATATATTATAAAAAACCCATGTAGGAGTATTTTTTTGGGTTCATAACTTGAATTATAAGGGCATTCTAACAGGCTTCATCATACAGTCAATGCTTTCGGACTTTTGTTTTTTGCAAAGTGATTGACATACTGTCAAGCTCGCACATTGTTAAAACAACAACTGCAGTATTATCGTAGATGATAAATATCGCACACCCCTAAATAGTGTACTTGTATCACATACTCATAATAGACCACACATGGACATTAGAGGAGGATTGTGGGAAATCTTCCTACTCTAATAGCTCCTATCTGTTTAGCGGGGTTTATGGCGCCCTCGGTGGGCTGCTGTGGTGAAAGTTTAACAGGCTTATCTGCAGGTTAGGTAACAGATAAGAGCGTTTACACTGGCTCTGTCGATCACGGCTAAAGTGGGTCATGTTTCTGCTGTGTGCAAGCAGAGTCCTGTTACCACACACACTATGACACACGAGTCAAACACTCAGCGCTGTAGGCATCAGTGTAGTGCGTATACAACAACTTCAAGCATATTAGAGGTTGTGTTGTGTTAACTCTTATCTGTCCTGTTGCCTTTTTACTTCTACTTTGTTAAGCCAGTTGTCACTATTACTATTGATCAAACCACTAAATCTGATTATTCATTTTTGATGTATCGTGAATGATACTTCAAATTATGGTCTTGTTGAGAAGAGGTACAGTATGCTGTTACTTTTATAAGTGATCAAACTTAAACAGTTCACCTGATTAAAAAATGATTAAAAAAATAACAATTAAATTGATGGAGATAAACACAGAACACTGTTGCAACCACTTAGAACACCCTAGCAACTATCTGGAATACCCTAGCAAACACTTAAAACATCATAGCAATGACTCGGAACATCATACCAACCACCAAGTACAATTTAGCAATTCCTTAGTACATCCTAGCACACATAACAGCCAAGGAACCACAAAACCAACCTAACAACCACTTAGAACAACCTAGCAACTATCTGGAATACCCTAGCAAACACTTAAAACATCATAGCAATGACTCGGAACATCATACCAACCACCAAGTACAATTTAGCAATTCCTTAGTACATCCTAGCACACATAACAGCCAAGGAACCACAAAACCAACCTAACAACCACTTAGAACAACCTAGCAACCACCCAGAACAGCTTAGCAATCACTTAAAACACCCTAGCAACCCCCAATCACAACTTACTAACTGCCCAAAACAGCTTAGCAACCACTTAGAATGCCCTAGCAGTAGTAATTACATACACCATGTGTCAAATTGATGATTTATGACTTGATTTATGACTCCTGTCAGCGTTGATTGACAGGTTGTCGTATGTCAAATGTGTACATGGTCCGATTTATGACCGTATTTATGACTATATGACCCCTCTGTCACCCTGACTGCCATGTCACCAGGGTCCTGTCACCCCTGACTGCCATGACAGTGTGTAAATCGAAAAGATCAAAACAGATGTTAGATCTGACTTCTGATGGATTTATGAATCCTAGCAACATCTGGAAAAACATCCTAGCAACTACTTAAAACAACCTAGCAACCACCAAGAAAAACCTAACAACCATCCAAAAACACCTTAGCAACCACCCAGAACAACAAACCACTCACAAGATCCTAGCAAAAACAACCTAGCAACGAGCAAGAAAAACCTAGCAACCATCCAGAACACTCTAGCAACCACCAAGAACAACAAACCACTCATAACAGCCTAGCAACTACTTAAAACTTCCTAGCAACAACCAAGAAAAACCTAGCAACCATCCAGCACACCCTAGCAACCACCAAGAACAACTACTCATAAAAACCTAGCAACTATCTAAAACAACTTAGCAACCACCAAGGACAACCAACCACTTATAACAGTCTCATAACAGCCTAGCAACTACCTAAAACAACCTAGCAACAACCATAAAAACCTAGCAACCATCCAGAACATCCTAGTTACCACCAAGAACAACCAACCACTTATAACAGCCTCAAAACAGCCTAGCAACTACCTAAAACAACCTAGCAATGACCAATAAAAACCTAGCAACCATCCAGAACACCCCAGTAACCACCAAGAACTACCAACCACTCATATCAGCCTAGCAATTACTTAAAATAACCTGGTAACGATCAAGAAAAACCTAGCAATCATCCAGAACTCCCCAGCAAGCACCAAGAACCACCAACCACTCATAAAAGTCTAGCAACTATCTAAAACAACCTAGCAATGACCAAGAAAAATCTAGCAACCATCCAGAACACCCTAGCAACCACCAAGAACAACCAACCATTTACAACAGCCTAACAACTACCTAAAACAACCTAGCAACCATCCAGAACACCCTAGCAACCACCAAGAATGAACAACCACTCATAACAGCCTATCAACTACCTACAACAACCTAGCAATGACCAATAAAAACCTAGCAGCCACCCAAAATACCCTAGCAACCACCAGGAACAACCAACCACTCCTAACAGCCTTGCAACTACCTTAAGCAACCTAGCAACAACCAAAAAAAACCTAGCAACCACCAAGAACAACCAAGTACTCATAACAGCCTAGCAACTACTTAAAACAACCTAGCAACTACCAAGAAAAACCTAGCAACCATCCAAAACACCCAAGCAACAACCAAGAACAACCAACCACTCATAACAGCCTAGCAACTACCTAAAACAACCTAGCAACCAACCAGAACACCCTAGTAACTGCACAGGCAAGTTGTTGATAGCATAAGCTGGTGGAAATGAACTTTGCAAATTCTAAAATCAGTGTGTTTTTTGTAACTCCTTCAGCACTATAACTGTAACTTGAGAATGCGCCCCAGGACGGTTATTATTACGAAATCCTCTTTGGCAAAGCTGATCTTTGGCAGGCTCTTAAGTGTTTCTCATTCTGCGGTTCTCTCTCTCTCTCTCTCTGTCCTCAGATCTCTGAAATGTACTCTACCGTTTGTAAGACCCTGAAGAGGAGACACCAGCAGGGTCAAAGCCAGGAGGATAGCAGGCCGACTCAGGCCGACTCTGCTGCGTCCCAAGCGGTGGACCGGGGCGGTGCGGGCTGCCCTTCCGCCGGTGCTGCAGGGGAAGAACCGTGGGGGAGGAGCGGCCCCCAGGAGGAGCCCTGCTACGAGCCTGTGGGCGAGAAGACGTGGCCCCGGGGCCTGGTGCAAGAGTCAGACCCGGCCTACGCCACAATCGATTCCCACCGGAAACGGGAGAAGCTGGCCAGCAACACGCTGAAGCCTAAAAAGAAACCCGCACAGGGTCCGGGCAGAGCCATGACCTGCGAGAACTTTTACGAGACTATCGGCGACGTGAAGCAGGGAGCAAATGCAGCGAGCACCACCACTATCTTTACCTTTAACGACGGCATGGAAATGTACGTTACGGGGCTATAAAAAAGCCTGACTTTAACCGTCAAATTAAACACCTACCTACAGAGGGGGGAAAAAAAAAAACTGCAGCCCTCTAAAAAAAAAAAGAGAAGATATACAGCCTACAGCTGCCAAACACACGCCAACCTACATAACCACACAACCAATGTATATTTATTCTTACCATAGGAGTGCACAATCAGCTGCAACACTCATGCAGACAAAACAACACTGAATTGGCTGAACAAGGCCTGCAGCCGGGCTGTTTTTAGCTGAAAGGCATGCTCACCAAATCCAGGGATCTAAACTGGTTTTTCCACCATGCTACAGTTGCTAATGATAGTTTACTGCAGGGTTCAAATCAATATGACTTTAAGACTCACTGTAGCACAGGGGAGTTTGCATCTGATTATATACACTGCCAGTGTACGTTTGGAGTTATTAAGATTTTTAATGTTTTAGTAAGAAGTCTCTCACTTAGACTGCAATTATTTGATCAAAAATACCATAAATTCAATAAAACTGTTTAATATTATTACAATTTAAATAACTGTTTTCTATTTGAATATATTATAATACGTAATTTATTTCTGTGATGCAAAGCTGAATTTTCAGCATCATTACTCCAGTCTTCAGTGTCACATGATCCTTCAGAAGTAACGATGCTGAAAATTCAGCTTTGCATCACAGAAATAAATGTATTCAAATAGAAAACATTTAAAATTGTAATAATATTTTTTGTAGTAATATTTCTGTATTATTGATCAAACATACAGCCTGGGTGAAGTTAAGAAACTTCTTTCAGAAACATTAAAAAAATCTTAATTGTTCCAAGCTTTTGACGGGTTGTGTAAAATCACAATGTTACACACTGTTGGTCAATCCCACTGCCGTGTGAGCACTACCTGCAAATTAACACAGGGATCACACAAGACGTCAGCTTAACCCCCCTCCCCTCCTGCTCTGAAAACACACCTGACTGGTTCTCTCAGCTTGAGACGGCCAGCCACCTCCACAGTGTTAGTTTAGCTGAAACAACAGAATACAGAGTTAACTTCTCTTGTTTTCCACCTTAAACATTATGTATGCGGTGTGACAGTTTAGGTGGTGTACATAAAGTATGTCTGGTCATTTTCAGTACGCATGTAACTTGCAGTCAGGCCCAAGTGGAATCTGCAGATTTGTTTTTTTTGGCACTGATCTTGGAGAAGAAAATGGTGCTAAAATGGGTTTAATGAAGCTACCTGGTTATCTGAATGAATTAGATACCATTATTATTACTTTACAATAAAATACATATATAATAATATTTTTTATATGCACTAATGCTCAAAAGTTTAGGGTCTGTATGATTTTTTATTGTTTTTAAGTCTTTAAGTTCACCAAGGATGCATTTATTTAATCAAACATACAGTCAAAACAGCAATATTGTTAAATATTATTATAGTTTAAAATGACTAATTTTAATATATTTTAAAATATAATTTATTCCTGTTTTGAAAACGCTGAATTTTCAATAAACATTTCTTCTTATTATTAGTATAATCAATGTTGAAAATAGCTGTGCTGCTTAATAATTTAGTGAAAACATTAATACATTTTTAAGGATTTTTTGATGAGTAAAATAAAAGAACAGCATTTATTTGAAACAGAAATCTTTTGTAACATTATCAGCTGAATAAAATAATTAATTTTCTTTAAAAAAAAAAATCTTACTGACCAAAAAACATTTGAACTATAGTGTGGGTATCTCTCTATTTAAATAATAACCAAAAATAATTATTTATTGATACAAATATTTACTAAATAAAAATATTTCAAAATAATCAATAAACAATTTTGCAGAACTTTCTCAATGCATGCTTCTGGAAACAAAAGCTCTCGTTTTTTTCTTTCTTTCTCCTCTCTGGTGCATCGGATATAATGTATGATTCATTCCCGTGCCTCTCACTATAAGACATAGTGCCAAAAAAACTGAATACCAGTCACCAAATTGGAAGTGGAGACGCCACAGGCAACTGCTTCTGAGAGGTTATGGATCTTCTCAGGGAGCACAAAGCACATATCTGCTCCAGGACTCGTCCGAAATGGCAGGGATCTGGTCTCAAAGCAACTGTAGGCCCTCCCTGCCGTTATTAACATGTGTCCTTCAGATTTGACGTTTGCCGTATTGAGGGAGGAAGTGTGCTCCACTTTAGCATTGGCTCGGCGGTTCCTCCCAATCCTGAATCTGTCTTTCTAGCACAAGGCTTGCTTTGTATTGCGAGGTGGATCGGTGCTTTTGATGTTGTCACTTCTGAGAGAGGCTGGGAGAACCGATCGTCCGGCCGTGCATTGTTTTTGATGAAAACGAGATCTTTCAGGGTGTGATTTGTACAGGTTGCACAAGGGTTTATTGGTTTTTCAACCACATTTGTTCTTAAAAGAGGCCGAGAAATGGCATGCCCAAAGTATGATATTTATTGGCAAGTATGTAAATAAAATATCTATTAAAAATCCATCTGCTTGCGTTCAACAGACGTATCAACTGACGTGATGCTCCTTATTCACTCAGAAATAGACTTTCTACCATAACAAAACAGACCAAATCGCATGTATATAGAGCGTACTGCAACGTAACATAACTATATATTATAAAAGAAAAGCTCTGGTATTGATGTTTTAAAAAGCAATGAAAGGTTTCTACTTCTGCAGAGGCCGAGAAATGGCATGCCCAAAGTATGATATTTATTGGCAAGTATGTAAATAAAATATCTATTAAAAATCCATCTGCTTGCGTTCAACAGACGTATCAACTGACGTGATGCTCCTTATTCACTCAGAAATAGACTTTCTACCATAACAAAACAGACCAAATCGCATGTATATAGAGCGTACTGCAACGTAACATAACTATATATTATAAAAGAAAAGCTCTGGTATTGATGTTTTAAAAAGCAATGAAAGGTTTCTACTTCTGCTGTTTAGGTTGTATGTTGTGAAGTGTGTAAATAGTAATGCGATGGCCGCGTGCCTAAATGGAATGTTTATGTACGCCGAGAGCCAATCAGAATCAACGAGGGGCGGGGCAGAGCGAATCTCGCCTGGCTGCACGCGCAGGATAGAGTGGGCGTGGCTACAGGGTCGGCGAGAGAGAAAAGCAAAACAATCATTTTTATCCCCTTTTACCGGCTGCTTTTAGGGTCCGTAGTGAAATACACTCTCGGCAGGGAGTCGAAGTCCACACAATACTGTTAAATGCATCTTATCCCGCTCAGCACTAAAATCGACCGAAAGCTGGTGGTTTTGCTTTAGTTACATTTGATCCAGGTTGAGAATGACTTCCAAGCGGCTCCTCGATCAGCCTCGAGCCGGCGACAGCACGCATGAGGGGGGCGAGCCTGTCACTGGAAAAGCGTTTAAAACAAACGCTCTGCATGAAGGTGCTTTAAGGAACTTTGGCAAGGAAATCTCTCCAAATGGACATTATTATACCGCAACGAGAGAGAGGCACTACATTCATAAGAAAGTAAGTGATGCATGCTCATTTAAGTTTTGCATATGCTCACCTTTTGGGTTTTTGACAGTTCGCTGCGTTTATAAACATGTCAAATCAACAGTTACGGTGCAGCTGTACGATGGCAGCTCTGCTTTTCGATGAAAACTCAAGTTTGCATGGAGAAATTGTTTGTGGAGTGAATGCAGTCTCATTTAATCGTTGCAGTTATACTGTTGTCTGCGTTAATGTAGCGAGGCGGTAACTGTCTTGCACGTAGTAAGATGGCGACTTAACTTGCATGTTCAAAGTTTAAACGAAAACAAAACACACCCCTCCCCCACAGAGTCTCTAACGCGAGCTGAAGCCGGTGGAAAGGTTTGTTTTCACAGGAACACCGTTTAGTTTTTCCTCTCAGCGGCGAGTGATGGCTTTCGATGATATTTACTGATTAAAAACGAGTGTTTCCATGTGTAACTTACGTTGTGGTTTGGAAAAAAGTTATATTATTAGGTTAACAGTTGGTTTATGCATCGTATATGGATGAAGTAACCATATGCGTCGTTCATTTCTTTCAAAAACACGAGCGTTCACTTTAGAAGTGCGTTTAATTTGGCTGGCTGTGTAGCGTGCAGGAGTGCGTGACACGCCCCCTCTTCCATGATGACGCGTCGCAGAATAAAGTATCTGGTCTGATGTGAACGTGCACTTGACCGATACGAGCTGTGCAGTGAACTCAACGCAACACTGCCTGTAATGCAGCTCATGCATGATTGCAGTGTTTTGGGGGCGTGAGTGCATTTTATTGAATCCCATTTAAGCTATCAGGAAGTATAACATATGTGATTTTTTAGGATTGCTGGTATTTTTCTTTATTAAAAGTGCTTGGTATTAGAGGTATACAGTTCAATTGAGTAATAACTCATTATTTAATATGGCACATCAGGAATGGGGAGACTACTGGTAGACAGTTATATTACCAACTGATAGGATGCTTCATTAATTGAAAAATAAATGTCAAATTTAATCTTCGCCCCTAGTTTTTGGATAAAGAGCAATCAGTATTGAAGTTTTGTTGCTTTTAGTCCATGTCTGTTAGCTTTGAGCATAAATAATTTTTTGCATACAACAGTGGCTTAACAGAAAATGGGAATAGTGATATATTAAATTAATCACGATTCATTTTGTGATTCCAACGGTCTCAAAATCTGCATGTCTGTCAAGAAAAAAACAACATTTATTGAGGAGTGAAATATGATTTCAGTTTACATATATATTGTATGCATTTCAATTTAGATCAGAGCTAGATTATTATGATATATTACTAATAATTTATTAATTTAAATGGTTTTGAGTCATCTTGCGGCCCCCTTGAAAGTTTGCTGAGACTTCCTGCCATAGATCATCCCTGTTTTCACTTTGATTTTAGTTCAGTTTTTAGTAATTTTGTTGTGTGTTTTTGTCTTTTTTATACGTTTTTTTAATGTCTATATAGTTTTTATAAATTTTTATTTATAAGTTTTAGTTTATTTAGTTTTAGTTATTTTATTTAAGTTAAACTAAACAAATATGAGAAATAGTTCCTTGGCAACTAGCAGAAATAAATTAATAAGTTATAAAAGAAATAATTTCGTTTTTTTTCACGTTTATTTTGTCAAGTAACAGAAATGTTTTTTTTATGGCTTTAGTTTGACTTAACTACAATAACCCTAGCTTAAGATCCACTATCTTAAGTGCATTTAAAATGCACAGTCTTTCCTTTCCATGAAAATGGATCAAAATTATTGATGACTCATCTTGGACTATCCAAAGTTTTAAATGTTCTCCAGAAAGAGAATGTCCCTAGTACCACCTCTTACTGACTAGCAGTAGCAAATCATGATTCACATTTGGCTTTTTTAAGAGGGGGCAGGCCCTTCAACATGTCCTGTTTCAACTTTCTGTTTTAAGAGGTCAACA